ATCAGTGCCGGTCAGATTCTCGATGCGGCTGGTCTCCAGGACGGCGATCATCTAAACCTCCTCGATTGGAGCCCTAGCCGCAACCTGGCGATCGTCCTCGACGACGTCGTGCACTCTCTGAACCCTGGCACCTCCGCTCATGAGATCGTCTTCGACTACATGGGCAGTTCAATTTCGAGCCTCAGCTGGGCTCCCGACGGCCGCCACCTCGCCGTTGGAATGCACGATTCGCTGATTTACATATGGGACGTCGAACGAAAGTGCCCGACGAGGACTTTGAGAAATGTGCACTGGAGATCATCTCGAGTCGGGTCTCTGGCTTGGAAATGTGACAACATACTGACCTCAGGAGGCTCAGACGGCAGAGTTGTCAACAGCGATCCCAGGATGCCGTCTGCAGCCCACGTTGTTCAAAGCTACCGAGGACACGGGCCCGGCGACATTTGCGGGCTCAAATGGTCACCTGATCACGCAAGCTTCAAGCAACTAGCGAGCGGAGGCAGCGACGGCCTGGTTCATGTATGGGATGCTCGCAATCAGAATCAGTGGGCTTTTCGTTTCAAGGTTGCTGCTAGAGATGCTTCTGTCAGGGCCCTTGACTGGTGCCCTTTCAAGGGTTGCTTGCTGGCCACAGGGGGAGGTGTTGGAGGGGACGGCAAGAGCAACGGATCGATCAGGTTCTGGAGCACGCAAACCGGTGCTTGTGTGAGGTCGGTGAAGACCGGCAGCACCCGAGTCTGTGCTCTGATGTGGAGCAAGAACAGCGAGCAGTTTTTGAGCTCGTGCAGCGGTACCGATCAGGATCACATGACTCTCTGGGACTACCCATCCTGTGTTAGGACAGGAGAGCTTGTGGGTCACGTCGCCCCATACTTAGCTTTGAGCCCAGATGGCACCACGGTTGCATCGGCTACGGGGGGCATCGACTCAACGCTGAGATTGTGGAACGTTTTCCCCCCAGTTCCCAAGCCCACATCTAGAGCTCTCTTCAGCGGTTCGTATCATGCGCACATCAGGTAATCACATTTGCGCGTGCACGCACACACCCACACTCACACGCAACACACACACACACACACACCATGCGCGCATACACACACTTTTACTTGTTTATTTATTAACATGCCAGTAGTTTAGCCGTGTCACTACTACACTCACGCCACACTCTCAGTCGTGCATGCACCTCTTATCGGTTGTGTATGCCCCATTACCACAGACCATCGATCAAACCAGGCCATTGCTGCCCTCGCACCGCACCATCAGTCATGCATGCATCGCCCATCGATCGTGCATGCCCTACTCATGCACCCGTTGGTCACAGTCACTCATGCATGCACCGTTAATCATCCATGCACACCCATGTTTCCACTCACCCATTGCTTGTGCTCGGTAGTGCACAAACCGCCCATTGCCAGAAGTCAATCGATCGCACTTGGTCATGCATATGAGACAGGGTAGTTTTTGACACACATCACATACTTCTAGCACATATCATATGCTTTTGAAGTGTTTCGTACATTTCTAGATCTCAATATTTGAATTCCAGAAAAAAACGGTACTGTGAAATTTTTGGCATGGCTCATAAATTTTCTTTACGCTCACGACACCTTCCGACACCTCTCATATTTTCTGACACATATTTTCTTGGTAATTTATCCTAACCCAAGTGTCCTGATTTTAGAAAGATTTGCAGTGTCAACATGCTCAGTAGTGTATATCCTGCTTGACACAGACAGACACATCTACATCTTTGCTTGTTTATTTATATATATCCCTGCAGGTCATATTTCCAATGCTAATTCTGCAGTGCGAGTTTGTTTCCCAGCAGCAAAGTATCTACATTATTTGATTGCATTAGTTCGTTATCCCAATGGTGGTAGATGACTTCGGCAAGTGAAAAATTAGAGGGGTTGGCTTTCTTGTGTGTGGGTATGTCTTGGTGTGTGCATGTGTGTGTTATGCTTGTATGTATCTTTTAAAGGTTAAAATTTGGGCTATTTTTGGTTTTTGGTGTGAGTGTGTGCGTGTGTAGGTGTATTTCAAGGTGTGTCATTCTTATTCTTTTTTCTAATTGTTTTGGGTTATTTTTGTTGTTATGGTGCTGATTTTCTGTGAACTTGTTCAACAGGATTGTATCTTTCTGAGGGGTTCGTGTGAGTTCATTTCTGCTCTCATTATTACTTTTGTTTCTAGGTATTTTGTGGTGTACTAGTGCAGGTTTTATGTTCAATTTCACTTTTACAGAGTTTGTTGCTCTTCCTTTTGTACTATTAGTTGCTGGATGTTTGTGTGTGTGCATGTGTGTCTTTGTATATGTGTTTCTGTATGTCTGTTTGGGGCATGCAGGTTTTTCTTCTCTTTTTCCCCTGCATTAAAGAATGAAAAGCGAGGTCCTATCTACTTTTATTGAGAAAGATTGCTCACCAGTTTCATATACTGAATTGCGTTTTTTTTTTTGAGAAACATATTGATAAACACCTGGACAGTATTATATTTAAGAAAAAGAATGACTGAGAAATGAACTTTTTTGTTGGTGTGAAGACTGTTAAATTGAATCAGTGTGATTGATACATCTGCTTGTACTTTGAGGAGAAGATAGCTGTCAGGTTTCTACTTTTTGTAGTTATCAACAATTATTTTCTTAAATAAGGTACTTTGTTATGATATTCACTAACTGAACACAGTTTTGAAGCCTGTGCATTACTTAATATTGAAGATTGCTTTTTTAGGAGTTTGACTGACCGAATTTGAAACAGGAGAAATTTCATTAAACCATGTTTCACATTCTTCTAATGACACTTAATGCACATTCATACACTTAAAACATAATACCAGATACTAACACAATTTTCAAATGCTTCAGAATTTTAATGGTTGTTTTTTTAGTAATCTTGTAAATTCATCAAAACATATATGTTGGTGGAAAATATTACCTCAGTTATTTTGTTGAATTTTCCTAACCAATTGTCCATTTTAAGAAGATTTTCCATACAAACATGCTCCTCCATCTCTTACACATCTTATGCTCTTACCCTTCATTACAAAAATCCCGTGCTTGTCTATTTATTTATTTTTGCAGCCGTACTTTCTCAGCATTTCGCTTTTTTTGCCTTTAATTGCAATTGGTTGCATCTCCCAATTGGTGACGGTCTGATAGGTAAGTCTGGTAAGTGCAAAAACAAATTTTTTTTACTGGTAAGTCTATGTCTACTCTGATTTAGTTGATTTTTTTTAAAAGCATGTAGCTGGGGACTTGTGTAGGTCTCCTAGCTGTAGTTCATGTTCGCCTCATTTTGCTTGGTTTCGTCTCTTCAGGTTTATCACAAATGCAATAAGTTTCATATATAGTACGGGTTAAGAACTTTGTTAGTCTAGCGCTATCAGTAGGCAAGGCTTGGAATTTGTAGAAGTTGCAGAGGACTTTACAACTACATGATTTGTAGTAGTTGCAGAGGAGTTTACAACTACATGGACCAGTATCCCTCCAGCAACCAAACGAAATGCAACGATTCCGATTACTCGGGTTTTCTTGCAAGCTAATTACTTTTTCATACTGCAGTCAACAGCGCATCCTTGAAAGAAAAGTTGTGAGCAAGTTTCCAGTATTTGCGGAGGCTCTTGTGTCTGTCGCCTTGAATTTCCGTCCTCCGTGTTTACTGATTTTTTTAATTAATTGAGTATGATTGTAAATTTATAATGCGACTTAGTGTAATTGAAAGTTCTTTTTTTAAGGATGTAATAAAAATACACTTCCGAGTTCCATGGTTTAGTTTCTTTGGTTTTTAATCAGTTTATTTGCATATCAAATGTCTCTCTTCATTAGGAATTTTACTATAATGTGCTTGAAAGTTTACAAAAAGATTGTAAATATTTTCACATATTACAGGATGGTTCCGACATTTCCAATACCAAGAGGCAAAATGTGAATATTTTACTGGAGTTGAGCACGTCAATCATATATTACCAAATTATGTAAGGTTAAACATGCAGACTTTTAGATTATATATATAGAATTGGACTTAATTTTTTTTCTCATTGTTAATCATTTTCTGGACTTAAGGACCTTCATCAATTTATAGTGCATTAACGTCTCCTCTAATTATTTGTGTTAAAAATGTCGAAACATTATTATTGATGACTCATCATTTCTACAATTCTCTTATGAGTATGGTTTAGTTCCCAATGCAATGAATTCTTAGATGGTTTGGCTTCACATAAAATAAGGAGCTTTGCGACAGGGACCCAAAATATTAAATTGGTCATCATTGATGTGTCCCCCTCCTATTGGATAATGAGTTGGTCATCATTAATGATGGCCAACTCATTATCCAATAGGAGGGGGACACATCACTTGTCCTCCCTATTGGTCTCATATTTTGGGTGCTTGAGGAATTTTTCTTAAATAAGTATCAAGCCCATGCTCACACTGGATTGTTTTAATTTCTTTGGTTTACATATATTGGTTTATAAGCTCAATAAACACGTTAATATCTTGGTATAATAAGAGAGATGATTTTATTATATCTTTATCGATTATAAGTTATATATCATCTTTGAAGTAATACTTTAAATGTTTAAGAATGCATAAACAATGAGTACTTCTTCTTTGCTATGTTATGAGAAGAAGAGAATATAGTTTTTTTTATTAGTAGTTAAAGTAGCTAGTTTGAGTGGTTGGATTTTCCTAAAATAAATCAAAATATTATGTTTGAAATTCAAACTTAGATAGCTTAACCATCTATCTGTCCCTTACAAATCTAAATAAAAATTTATAGTTTGTAAGAACTAAACGACGACTAGGATTTTAATGTTTCGAGATTTAAATCAGTATTCGTGTTTGGTTCGTCTGAGATTAGTATTTTCCACTAATCCCAAAATGGATAGTAAAGAGTTCCACGATCCCCCAGCATTCCGGACATTGGACTTCCCAATACTATTATATCCTCTCACCTCACATACTCCCCATATTAATGTATTATAATATTATAATGAAATATGTTAAATTAGAGGGGGTGATTATAATCTTAGAATTTATTTGGGTGAAATTGGTAAGATTTTGAGGGTTATTTGTAATTTTTGTAACTTCAATGGATGGTTGTAAAGTTTTTAGGGAAATGTTTTGTAAAGTTTTAATGGGGCTATTTATAATTTACAAAACCTACAGGGGCTTTTTATAAATTCTCCCAAAGTGTTTGTAATTCTACAAACTTTCAAGGGATTGTTTGTAAAATATTTAAGAAGTTATTTATATTATTGAAATTTTTATTTTTATTACTTTTGCAATTTTTATGGGGGCGAGCTGTAAAAAAAATTCAAATGACTGTTTTAAAATTTTAAAGGGGATATTTATAATTTTTGAAAATTTTAAGCGGTTGGTCATAAAATTTTCATATGTACCTTTATGCTGTCTTGTACTACCATATTTGCCAAAATACTCACTGTCTCGATTAGATCTAACAATCTTGACAACTTTTGCCAATTATTTCTCAACTTAAGTCTTAATATTTTTGAACTTTTCAAGAGCTTCAGACTTTTACTTAATTAGAACAAATATCCATATCGAGAAAAGTCAGCAACAAAAGTAATGACGTATTACAATTACATAATGTAACTAAATATGGTCTACTAATTTTCGTGTGAATAACTTCCAAAAGATCAAAACTATGAATGAACTCTTTTTCTTTATCTTGACCAATTTGCCTCTACAACAATCAACACAGTTTCTAGTAGAAATGTAGCCAAACCTTTTAGGCCACAACATGGAAGATTTTTTTTCTTTGATAGAGGTTTTTTTGAAAACAACAGTTTCAACGGAATATGAGGTGACACAAATTTGATCATTTGGAACAAGACACAATCTATATAAACCACGAGACTATGTGCATTGGCTAATTATTTAAATCATAAAATATTTGGATTGAAACATTATTAATATTAAAGCATAGCCAAGTTTGTTCAATAAGGAAACTGAAATAAGGTTCTATCTAAATGACATATACATAGAGTGTCTTTTAACAAAAGCTTAAAACTAGAATTTAAGTCCAACTATTAAATGACTCCAACGAACTCGACATCCACTTCTTCATTATTTGCAACAATGAGTTTTAACTAATTTTGATTTGATTTCCTCTTGTTAGAATACACGCCAACAAGAATGCCTCAAACGGAGATACAAAACACACTCAAACAATCTTGGAATTACAGAATAAAACCAGCAAATATGAATTCAAATACAGTACTCACAGATATAACGTGGTTCATTCTTACTGAGCTACTCCACGGTGCAACGACGACGCACAATTCCTTTATATTCCTTTTGAGTTTACAAATGAAAAAAAGATAAAAGAGAACACCCTCTCTTGATAAAGATAATCTCCAAGAATTTTCACAAACTCACACTCAAGAACTCTCAGTGATACTATATATATTTGTATCTTTCTCTTTCTCCCTCTACTACTGAGATACATTACAAATCTAACTTAGGGGGTTATTGGTTAGTGTAATTTTGGGGTAAGTGGGATAATATTTAGGACTTTACTTTATGGTGTTATTCACTGGGACAATGAGATTGAGATTTTACTTCAAGGTGTTATCATTGGGACAATAAAATTGGGACAATTAGCCCCACTTTTCCCAAAATTATCCCACTTTTATACAAATTTTTTTGTTCCAACCTCCAAAAATTACCTCATTCTTAACTTCGGGACAATCATGAAGAAAATGGGATAATTTTGAAGCACTAATTTATTAAATATCTAATATATATTAATTATATTATAATATGTAATATATCTTAATTATATTATATTATAAAATTCTATTATAACGTAAGATAATAAAATATTATATAATATTATCTAATATAACATTATTATATATCATTATAATATATTGGTTAATAATATTTCATATAATATAATATTAGTATTATATTATTATAATATGTTAAACCAATTAGGTAAATTAATTTAGACTTAGTTGATAGATAAATATTATACTTTAATAAGGTGTCGCATCATTAATTATCCCATATGAATTGTTAAACTAAAGCTTTAAATTATCCCATTATGCCAACTGGCCCAATTTACATCACTTAAAATATCCCAAAGGGATAAAATTGTTCCATTGGAACAAGTATCCCACTTAGCCCAACTTGTTCCAACCAATAACCCCCCTTATGGGGGTATTTATAAGTTTTCTCATGTGGGTAGGTAAACACTATTTGGTGTAGGTGAACATCGTAGCAGGGGATAGGTGAACACTATTTGGGGGTAGGTGAACATTGAAGCAGGGGGTAGGTGAGAAGGGTATACACACAGACTCAACATTCTCAACAATATCCCACTTCGAGAGTCTGTTTCTTGGTTTAATCATTCGGATGTCTAGTATCTTTGGCGTCTTGCACGATCCTCAACGTTCTTAACGGAGGCTATATGAGGCTGCACATAGCCTCACCTACTCAAGCAGAACTGACTTAGTTAGCATATCGGCTGGATTGTACCTTGTATCGATCTTTACAAGCTTGAACCCGTTCCTGCTTTGCCATCTCTGTATGACATGATGCTTCACGTCAACATGCTTGGTCCGAGCATTGAATGCGTCGCTCTCTGACAAGTGAATCGCACTTTGATTGTCACAATGGATGAAGTATTTCTCAAAGCTTAATCAAGCTCGAGAAGAAAAGCTTTCAACTATAGCAACTCCTTTGCTGCCCCTGCTGTAGATACGTACTCGGCTTCGGTTGTCGACATAGCCACGATATCCTGTAACTTGGATCTCCAACTTATTGCTCCACCACCCAAGATGAAGATGTAGCCTCTCGTGCTCCTTCTTGAGTCTATGTCCTCGGCGTAATATGCATCACAAACGCCCTCTAACTATAAATTCACCCTTCCATACTCAAGACAACAGTCGGATGAACATCTCAAGTAGCATAGAAGCCACTTGACCACATCCCAGTGGTTCTTCCCTGGATTGCTCATGAAGCGGCTTACAACTCCCACTTCTTGTATAATATTTGACCTCGTGCAAACCATCGCATACATCAAACTCCCGATGACAGATGCATATGATATATTGGCTACGAATTCATGTTCTTCAGCAGTCTCTGGTGTTTGGGTCTTCAATAGCTTGAAATGGCTCGCAAACGGCGAGCCCACCGGTTTAGCTTTCTCAATGCTAAACTTTTCAAGAATCTTCTCAATATAGACCTTCTGAGACAACCTCAGCCTATGTGCTAATCTGTCTTTAATGATCCTCATCCCAAGAATCTAGTTTGCTGGGCCCAGATCCTTCATCTCGAAGCAGACGCCCCTTGAGTTCCTCAATGCAGGCCAAGTCAGGCCCTACAATCAACATGTCACCAATATAAATCAACAGTATCACCTAGGATTCGTCATACCTCTTGATAAAGTAGCAGTGGTCTGTGTCGCATTTGAGAAAACTATTCTCTTCCATAAAGTTCTCGAACTTCATGTACCACTATCACAGAGCTTGCTTTAGGCCATACAATCTCTTGCGTAGGCGACACACGAGGCCCTCCTAGCCTCATTCCTGGAAGTCCACTAGTTGATGCATAAAGATCTCTGTCGTCAAATCTCCATGAAAGAATGTCATCTTCACATCCATCTGCTCTAGATGGAGATCTCGAACTGCCACAATGCTTAGTACAGTCCGGATCATGGTCAACTTGATGATAGGAGTGAAAACGTCAGAATAGTCTATCCCTACTTTCTGCTTGTAGGCTGTTTAAAAATTACTGCAGAAAGT